CCCTAGCTCCCCAGCTGGACTCTCTTTCTGACTGTGTGTGCAATCGGAATTGGAGGGACATTTCAGTATGGATACAATGTTTCCATTATTAATGCACCCACTCAGGTAAGTCACCCTCTCATTATTCCCAATGTCCTTGTGCATTTTGGGCAACATCCTGCCTCGCTGAAACCGATGGCAATGTCATGGTGCCTTCAGTCGGAGCAGCACGAGGCCTTTGGCTTATTGTGACTCATGACGAGGACGGGGCACAAATTCGGAGAATCCCTGAGGGTCGGGTGAGGTCCTAGAAGATTGGAAAATGGGAAATATAGTGCCCAAAAAAGGGAAAGCGAAAGCCCAGGGAGATACAGACTGGTCAGTTTGACCTTGATACCTGGAAAGCTGCTGATGAATATAATCATGCAATCAGCTTGTAAGCATCTAGAGGACAATGCGTGATAAATAACAAACACCATGGATTTGTCAAGAGCAAGTAATCACAGACTTCTAGCAGAGAGAAGAGAGCAGGCGATAGGATATACCTTGGCAGAGTGGTATTTTACACACTAACTGGTTCAGAGAGACAGGAGATCATATAGGCAACAACGTGTTTCATCAGGTAGTACAGTTGGGGTATTAAGTTAAGGAGCTGCAGTCTACATCAGGGTGCCAAATTGATTCAGCCCCCACAGGCCAGATCCGGGCTGCGGAGCTGCGTCATCGGGTCTGTGGGGCTGCCCACAGGGATGGACGTTGTGCGGCAGCAGCACTGATTGCCTTGGCTCCTGCCACTTTTCTGGGAGCTGCGGCAATGAATGCTGCCACTGCTTTTCCAGCTGCCAAATTTCCGGCCCGGGGGAGCCCTGCAGGCACAAACGACTCTTCAAGAAGGATGTGAGGAACTTGAGCGATTCCACAGTAGACGTGGCAGGTGAAGAAAGGTTGGAAGAACTGGATGTATTTAGTCTAGAGCAGGGAAGATTGGGATTTGATGCGAGAAGCAAGGGGTTGGGGTTTTTTTGGTAATATCTTTTATTGGACTGGCTGAAATTGGGGGAGAGATTAGCAGCCTTCAGAAACAAAAACACCTTGTTATAAGGAGAAGACAACACAGTCTTGTTTCTGCCCACAGAGGACAGGGCAAGAAGTGATGGATTGAAACTGCAATGAGGGAGATGAAGGTTAGATAGTAGGAAGAGCTTTGAGCTCTTTACCTGAGGGTGGCGAAGAGCTGGAGCAGATTATGTCGCGTGGTGGAAGCTCCGCCGCACTGAAGCTCTAAGTGTGCATTAGACACATTTTTCTAGGACGGTTTAGACGCACACGGGATGATGCTGCCTTAAGAAGGGGATTGGATCAGCCCTGCATCTGCTTGGGATCCTCCAGACTTACAGTAGAAAGTTCACAGAGAATCAGGACAGATTGATTCTGTAAAGTTTTGGATGGGAATTCATGCTGTCAGCTGAGTGTTTTCCAAGTAATCTGTGCAAAATTAATTTGTTGTAGCATTTCATGATTTTTCAGATGGTGAAAATAAGCTAACTGTGAAAGGACAAGTCACATGCTGGAAACAGCGCAGGAGTGAGATTCCAGAAAGCAGACTGACTCTGCTCTTGGAAGCATTTGTAGGCTGGAAGCACCCCCTTGATTACCCAGGCACATACATTCAGAAAGCCTGAAGGCAAAGTCTTTCCATTAGTGTGGTTCTACTAGGGCCAGTGGCAAACACTGCACGCAGCAGTAAAAGGGAGCTTAGAATTGCATTTTACTTTGACAAACTGATCAAGTGTATGGGATTGCAGTTTATAAACGCACGAAGGCTGTAAACACCAAGAAGGGAGTGAGAGTATTTAAGGTGACATAAAACGGCATTACTGAAAGTCCTGGGATCAAATGCAAAAAAGGAAAAGGTAGGCTGAATATCAGGCTCAGCTTCCTGACAGTCAAATTTGTTGGGGTTGTGGAGCTGCCTTCAATGGGAAGTGTGGACACATTCAAAGCTGGATGGATCAAGGACTGGGAAGGGACAAGCCAGTATTGGCCCCTGGGCAGTTGAATTGTGTGTGAGCTATTAGTTATTGTTATCTTGAACTTCTAGCTTTTAGCCCCATGCCCAAAACTATTCCCCAGACTCGAATCACAAACCTCACGTGCAACTTTTAGGACTAATATTTCAAGAACTGGATGAACGCCACGTGGTCATCGTCATGTTTTGCTGAGCTTTACCTACAAATCAGTGGGATTATATTATGCATACACACCTTTGATTCTGAAGGCTTTCAAAGGTATTTATGAGCAATATATAGAAGGATCATTTGCCAACCACTTAAATACAATCCCTTCTAAGATCAGGTATAATAGCAGCAATTCACAGCAGTTCCTTGGAAGTAAAGAGAATATATTCTGGCTGCACTAGTGAGTTAGGATTCTGCTAACCAGTAAACTTTTTGTCTAAAATAATTCGGTCTGGATATACGGCTGATATTCAGTGAGATGTTCCCTCTTGCCATGTCAGCTCTGAGAAGAGAACCTCAGAAGTTCAGGTAAGCGATCAGTTGCTTCTAATGATGATGTTTAAATTGCCACTCTCTGCACTTGCAGTATATACACCACTTCCTAAATGAGACTTGGAGGAGTCGTTACCAGATGGAACTTAACCCAGACTTGCTGACCTTCCTGTGGTCTGTCACTGCTTCCATATTTTCCCTTGGAGGTCTTTGTGGAGCTCACATCGGAGGCAGCATGGCGATTAGGCTGGGCAGGTAAGTTATACACATCTGTGGAAAGTGGGTAGAAAATGGAAACTTAGCCAACTTCCTTTTCCTCCATCCATTATCATTGCAAAATGATGTAAAGAAAGAATTCTGAGAAAATGTACTTTATCTGAAGGACTCTTCAGTTACATAACTAGAAACAGAAGTGAATATCACTACCAAGGAATGGGGACATGGTATTTCAGAGATGTGTCCTCCCGGCTAGTGTCCAGTCACATGAGCGTGGAAAAGAGCCTGAACTGAGTCCAGTTCCTCTTATCAAACGTCTACTTGCAATTGAAGCTCTGCAGCTTATATAAAGTATACGTGCGCTCTACACGTCATAACACACGCGTGCAACCGGTAGCACAACCAAGGAAGGGGGACTGGGGAAGTCCTGGCCCTGACTTGAAGGTGAGGGGGAGAAAATAACAGATGCAAAACCAGACCAGCAGCAGTCAGAAGCTGCCACTGTCTCTGTGTGTCGCAGCTGCCCTGAGTGCCCTGTTTCCTTGTTACATCTCCGCGCACGACACAGATGCTACACGCATACAGATGAAAGCAATACGTTGTACAGCCTGCACATTAACACACACGTGCTGCATAGCTTCTATACGCTTTGCAGGTGCTCCATGTAGATATTGCATGTGAATAAATATACATATTTCACGTGCATGAATACATGCATACATTGTTAGGGATTTCTTTGGCATATGAGCATCAGATTAGAACTAAGTGCTGTTTTTATGTAAAGCAGGCATGTGTTAGCTATCCCAGTTTCCAGTGAGTAATGTATCTTTTAAATTAATTTTTTTCTTACTATTATAAAGGTTTTTTTTAATATTTAACGTTTCTGTGACTTCTGTTATTTTTCCATTTAGAAAAGGAGCTCTTTTGGTGAACAATTTCATAGCAATACTGGCCTCCATTTTAATGGGGATTAGTTTTCCAGCAGGATTGTTTGAGTTATTGATTGTTGGCAGATTTTTGATTGGCATAAATGCAGGTAAATGAATTTCTGTTCCTCACTTTAGTAATCATGCTATTTATCATAGTTTATTATTCTTATTGCTGATCCTTTAGGTAGTGGTGTAAATTTATATTTGCTTTACAGGCATGGAGACAAGTAAGTTTCCTAAAATATAAACTGGAATTGAAACACTGCCAGATTAATGGAGAGATTTAGAATTACAAGACTTTTTTTCTTTTTTTGCCCAGCTACAATTTTCCAACCAAGATCCATACGTTAACAAGACTCTATTGCTATAGTATTGGCTGAGTCGTAACAATAATTATCTTGGTAATAAGGGCATAGAGAGTGGCTTCTGCTCGGACACTTGGGCAGTGAAGACTGGTCAGAGTAGCACTGGTCATGGAAGTTCAGCAATAGCCGGGGCACAGACCAGGTAGCAGAGATGACTGAGAAGGGGGTAGATGAGGACGGGTAGATTTTCCTACCTGTTGGGCAGAAAAGTGTAAGAGGAAAACCAAACGAGGCTGGGAGAGTTTGGAATGGCCGAAGAGTCTAATGTAGAAAACCTGTCGGGCAGCCAGGCCAGTCTTCGTTTTACGGGGTGAACGGCTAGTGTTTGTTCAATGAGTCGCTCTTTATGGCAGCAGAGAGCTTGACCCCCCATTTTAAAGGCAAGAAAGTCTGAAGATCCTTCACACGCCATTTGAGGTTGTAGAACTAGACAGAGAAAGCATTTGCAAAGTGCTAAAAAGCTAATACAAGTCAATGTTTCACTTACAGGGTTTCATGGGCCTTTGAAGCCACTGTCTAAGTAGAACATAGTCCTGGCAACAAGACAAAGTGTCTGTGAGCGCAGCCCTGGAGGCTGCACACAAGGTCATTTACTATAGTCAGAAGCTGAAAAGTCTTAATCTACAAACAGGAAAACACTTCCTCTCTTATTTATAGGTATCGGCCTCTGTGTACAGCCACTGTATCTGGGGGAAATTGCTCCAAAACATCTCCGAGGTACTCTGGCCATGGGCTCTTCCATATTTCTGACCGGAGGGATTCTGACAGGACAGATCATTGGCCTGAGGTTAGGAATACCATCTTTCACTGCCATGATATGATTTCTGAAGAGTAACCAAGGTCCGGTTATCTGCAGAGGTACAAAGATCTCTCTGGAGAGGGAAAGGAGCAGAACACTGCTCTTTTCATCTCTCTCTTCTGACAGATCGATCAGCTAAAAAACAAGGGCTTGCATCTTGCATGAGTTCAGTTGAGTGCCTCCACATGGACGCATTTTGTTTACTCGGGCCAGGCACAGCCCGTGCTGGAAATCAGACACCTAGTATTCTTACACAGGCCTTAGAGCTGTAGTGCAGAACAGAACCAGTGAGGAAGCCTGTGGCTTACAAGAGTGGGGCTGAGAACAAAGGAATGTTAATTTATCTACTGCAGCACAACCACCATCACTTGCACATCCTTTCCGTGCAGGAAAGGTACCTGATGATACCAAATATACCAAAATGAAGCTTCTTTCATTAAGTCTACCAGAGGCTTCCAGCTGTTATATCGGTTGCCTCTGGCACAGAACGTGTGCTGCTTCTCACTTCCAGTGCCTACAGCCCTCCGACTTCCGCATTATTTTCCTTTCTTCCCGCCTCCGGACCTCCTCTTCCTCACTGCTCACTATAGGCATAGACTGTCATCAGTGCCTACTTACACCCCTACAGCACAGCTTACTAGGGTCCAAGGGAGATGTGGCCGTGTTAGGTAGTTTAGTTTTTTAACGTGTTTAAATCAGCTACTAGTGTTTGGAGCACAATTGCATTTAGCATTAAAAAACCTCATCACTTTGTGTGAAATACATCCTACTACAGGCCCCAGGTATAACAGTTGGGATGAATTCCTGAAACTTAAATGTACTCCATTACTCTCACACATGAATAAAGATGCTGCATTTAATGTTATTGGAAGATACTGGCCTGACTGACCTGCAGGCCAACAGCCTCTGTGTAGTGTCCAAATGGCTAGATCACAGGCAGCAGCAAAGCAGTTCCCCCTTGCTGATGGGGCTCAAATCTGTCTGGGTGGGCTCTGTTTTATGGGAGAGGAGGGAGTTGATTTTCCCCACCCGGTTCATTTGTGGCCTCTGCTGAAGCTGACAACAAATGGGCCTCGTTTGCTACAGGCAGACCTGTCCCCTGGGATCGGTGCCCCCTTTTTACTGAGCTTCTGAAACAGTGATCATCCAGTAACAACCTTTTCTTTCTACGCCCAGAGAATTACTTGGTGGAGCAAGGTATTGGCCTTTGTTGCTGTCCAGCAGCTGTTTCCCTGCATTTGCCCAACTTCTGTTCCTCCCCTGGTTTCCTGAAAGCCCAAGGTATCTTCTGATTGACAGAGGTGATGAGATAAAGTGCACCAAGGGTAAGTTTTACAGCCTTTGCAATTTTCCTATCGCTCTCAATCCACAGGATGAATATATTTGACTGCTCTTTTTCTTCTCATCTTCATTTCCCTACCACATCCCATGTCTTCTCAGTGAACCCTGAAACCTCCCAGGCACGTGCCTCTCCCAGCAGACTCAGAACGGGATGTAGCTAGCTCGCTTGACATCACCCAGCTTGCCTGCCCACTTCCTTCCAGCCGCTGCCCGGCCTCCCCAGGTCCCAGGCCGGTTCCTGGGTCCCTCCATCCTGCACTGGATGGAGGTCAGAAACGGCTGCCTTCTTGACTTCCAGCCCTGTATGAGGAAAACCACCTCTCCCTGGCTGTCCTCCCAAGCCCTGGGAAAGGGATGGCTATCGGAACTGCTGCAGAAGGGAGAGCCCTCCATCTTCCTCTCAGAACAAGCTTTTCAATAGAGGAAGGAGAGGAAGAAGACACTCCTCTCAGAAGAATGGGGGAGACAAGGAGCTGAGAGACCAGTAGCTCAAGCTGTCTCTGTGCCCTTCTCCCCAACTGTATGCAGTGGCTCAGTCTTTTCTCTGCTTTGTCCCACTTTCTTCCCTACAGCACTTTGCCTGGAAGGGGGTAGAAAAAACTGCTGTAGCTGTCCCCCAAGGCCTGAGAGAAGGGAGTGAGGAACCCAGGCCTTGCAGAGAGAGTTAATGATTATAAAGTTGTCTTTGGGGAAGCTGGAAACCCACACCATCAGGCAGCCAGCAAGACCTCCCATAGCAGGGAGATTGCTGGACATCATAAGTGCATAATAGGATGGGCAGCGGAGAGTAAAAATACCAGATGCAGATCAGCGATGCAACAGGATCTTTAAGAGGAAAATCCCTGTGAACTGGGGGATTTGATTCATGGAGGAGGTTGGGAGTTTAATTTGTGGCTTAGAAATACAGCAGCACCACTCAGGTGGTTGGTAAGTAGCACTGCCGAACTGGCTAGCAAGCTCCTCTGTACCCAGCAGCTGTCCCCATCCCGCTGCCAAGGATCTTTAGCAAATGGCCATTCCACAAACTGAAATAAAAATACTTGGGGCTTGTCTTGTGCCTTAAGGGTTAGTTTGGGAAAAGTAGTTCCTGGTTCTTGTAGACACCACGATGCATTCCAGGCTGGTGCGTGGCCTTAATCAGTAGCTTATTTAACCTTGAGGAATCTGGGGAAATTGATTTACGGTCTTTTGGAGATGAGCATGACCTTCAGCGCAGAAGTTTCCACCTCGCTACTTTAACTCTTGATGGTGTCTGTATTTCCTTAACGAGCAATCTGTTCTGTTTACGGTAGTACATTCAACATGTCCCATTGCTGTAACAACAGGAACACGGCTGTAACAAAAGACTGATGTACGCAGTATTCGCCTTTCAGATATTTGGGACGGTTTGTTTTAGCTCGCACACGAACGTGGGAAAACCAAGTTTCACGTAGAAAAAACATTTTCAGATAGATTATGTTCACATGCGTTCTTCAGAGCGATATGCTTGTTTTCTGAAAATCCCAGTCTTTCTTGCATCCTTACAAAAGTCGGGTCACACAGGGATCAGAGAGCAGCTGATTTTACAAAGCCTAGGGTCACTTTCAGATATCACTGTCCTTTTCTCTTTTTAGCTTTGAAGCGCTTTCATGGTCTTTTGCACTACCAAACAGAGATGAAAGATATACAGAGAGAACAATTTGCCTTAAACGGTGAGAAGCCAAAGAAGCCCTGGCAACTGTTCACTGATCGCAGCATAAAGTGGCAGCTCATCACGGTGATTGTGATGACTATGGGCCAGCAGCTCAGTGGGATAAATGCTGTAAGTGTGAAATCCCCACTGCTCCGGGTGCAAAGATTTTTCAGTTGTAATTCCTCTGTAACTGTGATTCTCAAGTCAGCATAGGAACGCATCAGCTTTTTGGAGCTAAGAGTGCTATTAATAATTTTAGGCTTATCCTTAATTAAAAATATCTACAAACTTCTCTCACACTGCATAAATAATCCCAATATTTCTACAAGCTATGCCTCTGATCACTGAGCTTCTTTCCTGTCCCTTTGAGCAACCACCTTTGGGTTTGGTTGTGCTCTGCATGTACCTTGACATGAAGCGATAGATTTCCTTTGTCTTTTCATGATTTGCGTAAGTCACCATGTACAATTTACTCAAATACTGGATAGTACAAGAAGTTGGCTTTCTGCTGCTGATGTCATTGCCCACTCAAAGTGTCACAGCCCTATTGATGTTTTCTTTCAGATTTATTTCTATGCAACATATGTTTTTAAACAAGCTGGGATTCCTCAGGAAAATATTCCATACGTGACCTTAGGTACTGGAGCTTGTGAATGCCTCACAGCCCTCACATGTGTAAGTGATGCATTCTCCTTCTGCCACTGGGCAATATTATTTTTAATGGTAGACAAGAGAGAAACGTGGCAAGCATTAAGTATCAGTGTTCTTAACAGAGAGCGTGCTATCTTGTCCACAGGGTTTACTGATTGACTACATGGGGAGAAGATTTCTTATCATTGGAGGATATGCCGTGATGACATTTTGGTGCATTGTGTTAACGTTCTCCCTGACATATCAGGTACAAAGGGATCTTGCTATGACACTGTCTCCATTTGAGAAGTTGTGAGAGTAGGGGAGAGTGGAGATCTTAAATTGGAGATGAATATTTCTTAATAACCAGGGAAGCAGTAGGAGTTGCATACGTTAAACAACAAAGCAGGCAGGCTTTTGAAAATATTAATTTAAGGGGTCTCTGTTTATCCTCCTAAAATCACTAACTGGATGCGACTGCCAGAGTGCAATGCCATCCAGCAATTACACAGAAGACTTTTAAGGAATCTGAGGGCATACCCAAATGAGCGTGGATGTGCGGTATGCAGTGCCGCGCACACAGGTATTCCCTGCGCTACTAATTTGTAGTGGGGGGAGAGGGGGAGGTTGACCCCGGGGTCAAAACAACCCACACCTAAAAAAAAAAGCAGGGCTGTGCACATAGCAGCAGTGTGCGCTGCCCAAAACCAGAGCCTGGAAATAAATTTCCCTCAAAAATACTCCTATGAGAGTCCATTTTAGTGACTTTAGAAATCTTATGATAATGTAACTATAAAAACAATAAAAGTCCCACCCAAATCAGTTCATAAGAACCTCACATACTTGAAGGCAAAAATTTCAGTCAGGATATTGACTCCATCTGAAGGCTAACCCTGTGAAAAAAGGCCATCTTCCCTTCCTTGCTGGTATAGTACAAGAAACACCCCAGAAAACCAGCTTTATATAGTACAGCTTAGTTCTTGCACGTCTAATAAATGTGATGTTTCATCATCATACAAAGCATGACTGTTTTTGTAAATAAATGCTATACTGTCATGATTAAAAAGCTTGTACATGATGGCTGAATGCTGAATGTCATCTAGAAAGCTAGTGAGTGGCCCATGGGACCATAGGACTCCGCTGTAGGATAAACAGTGATAAAAATACAGGCGTTAAGGTAGCAATTAATGTAGAATTTTAACTTGATTATAATGACGTCCATGGAAAAAACCTGACTCTAGTAATTATAAATACTGCCAACAATGGGACTGCTACCCTTGTGAAACTGCCCAGTGTTACATTACTGCTTTCAAGATTACCACGATAATACTAAAAAATTGACTATTATCAATTAATGGTGATTGGTTGGCTTGTCCTGTCATAATTTACAGCAGAGTAAGGCTAGATGTAGCATTTAAAACCGTCTCTGCAATTTATATAATTACAGTAAACAGGTAACAAGCCACAGTGATGAACTTAAAAACACATTACGCATTCTCTGAGACACTAGTTTAATTGAAAGAAATGATTACTTCAATTCAGGACATTTCTGTTGATTCAGAAGGTCATTTACAGGTTCAGCCCCTAAATACATTTGACTATTAAGCCAAATGTTAAGGTGTGATGATTGAAATCTGAATCATGTACTTTTCACGCTCTCTTTTCAGGAGCTGTACTCCTGGGTACCTTACTTGAGCCTGGCGTCCATATTTGCCTTCATCCTGAGCTTTGGGTTGGGACCAGGTATCGCACGTTAGAAAATATGTCTTTATAAATAACCTGCAACACATCTCTTAAAAAAAGAAAAGCCAATGCCACCTGTTGTGCAGACAGATTCCCCCCACATAAAAGATGCTGAAGCTCTAGCTAAAATACGTGTTCTCCTCTCACTAGAACAGCAGAGAGTACTGTAATAATCGTTACAATGCATCCTTATATGTAATGTAGCCAAACCACATAGGAAGCAGAAATTAGGCTGATCGTTATATGGTTAAGGGCATATCACTCATGCTGAGTTACACCTTTCTCCTTGGGCAGTTTCCATTGAATTCAACAGGGCTTCTTCTCTAAAAGGGTACCACCTAACAGGAATAAAGGTATCAGCTTCTGGATCAAGGTATCCGAGAGGAATCCCCTCAAAATACTGTTTTGTTTTGGTTTTTTTAAACAAGAGCCTCTAGATTTTTTTCATGTAATGTTTAGGTCTGTTCATGGCACATAGGTAAGCACCTACTATTCTCCCCTGCACTTTTGAAACATTCCCTGAAGATACAAAATCTGCACAGTAAATTGTTCTGTTTTTTTTTAATCAATCCCTCCAGGTGGTGTAACAAATACCCTGGTTGCTGAATTATTTACACAGTCTTCACGGCCCGCTGCTTACATGATAGGAGGATCCATTAGTTGGCTGAGTTTCTTCACAATTGGAATGCTCTTTCCTTTTATAGTGGTATGTCTTCATTACCTATACTGTCTTCTCTTAGTTGTCGCACCAGCACTCACTTGCCCTTTTCTCATGGACCCCACCAGATGCTGAAAATGCTTTTCCTTATATAGTATCTACCATTTAGAGGTGAGTACAAACTCCCTTTTCACAGAATATTATTAGGCACAGTCACTTTTACTAGGGCAAGTCATTTCAGATGTATACAAACATTAAAACCCACAAGGAAAGACTGTTAAATAGAAATTAATATGGCTGCATAGAAAGCACCAATTTCCAGGTGGTTTATTTTTTTTTTCCTGTCTCTCTGTATCTATCTATCTGTGTGTGTGTGTGTGTGTCTTTCTCTCTCTATATAGATATATATGTATCCTAACAGCATGTCTTGCTGCTGCTAGCTTGTTAGGTCAAAAAGAGGTGACACCTGTAAACAAAGAGTTTACTACTTATTTTTTTCACACCTTTAACTGCCCAAATTCAGTTGGGTACTACCACTTAGAATAGAAAGCTTCTTTGATCAAGAAACATTATTTTAGTGGATAAAACAGTACATTCCTAGCATCTGATGGCATAGCTTGTTACCTAAAAAAGCTCATGCCTCTGGTTCAGTTAGGGCAAGGTTGTACCTTAGGGATTAGCTTCTGCCTATTCTAGTGAAGATAAAACAAGGTGACAATTTCTATTTCTGGTCTAATAACTCCAGTTGTCACTCTTGTTCCTGTGGAGTAAGTCAACATATGCAATGAACAGTTACTGCTGAAAATTTGAGTAAGAACCTCCACCAGAAATCAGATTGTAAAACCCTAGTCTGAGAACGTCTGTCTACATAGCAACCAGCGTAGAACTTATTTTATCATTTCCAAACAGATCAGCCACTTCCATTTGTCAGATGTGAAGAATGCTACTGTAGAACAGTGAAATCACTAAAGCTAAAAAAAACGTTTATCATAGGTCAGCTGTATTGTACCTCAGTGATGTTTGCATCTTAAAGCAGCTTGAACGTTACTAAATTAAGAAATTACCAACCATACTACATGCTGATAATATGGGCAACAAGGGGGAGTTGACCCTTTCCTTTAATCTCATGTTTGGGAAAGTGATGCTGAATTTTTTTAAATTAATCTCAGCTATCCTTTGTTTTATTTTCAGAATGGATTGAAGCATTATTGTTTTGTAGTGTTTTTACTGGAATGCTCCTTCATTGCTAGTTTCATCTTCTTTGTTATACCCGAGACAAAGAACAAATCTTTCCTGGAAATCAAGCGGGAATTTCAAAGGCTTAATTTTGGAAGCAAAAGACAGGAACCGGAGCTGTGTGACAGAATACAGCTCCACAGTGAATTCTAGAGTGCATACTACACTTCCTGGCTGTAAGGCAGCCACTTTAATGAGAATGATATGCAAGTGGTTTTATAAATTAGACAGCGAAACATAATGCTGAAATATTGTATTTACAGGCAGCTAGTAGTATCATCATCAGGTGAAATATAATTATAAGACAGATGAAGCTTGCTGAAGTAGCATAAGAAACTAAAAAATGTGTATACAATACTATATACAAAAAAGACAATTCAATAAAAATGTTTAAAGGTATGGCTGTTGTCTTTATGAAAATAGGTCCTGGTGACCCGCCTCAGTCGATTTTTGGTTTATTGGAAATTTTGTGGTACTTTCATTGGATCGTGTGGCCCAGCTTCACATTCTGAACATATTAGCTCCTGATGCAAAGTAATAGGAAGAGCTTGTTTTTGACCAGCACTGAACAAGGATGTGGCTGGAAGAATTAGAACAAAATATAGCCTTTATGCTGTGAGACTAGCACCTTGTGCATTACATAATGGCCACACCAAACATCTGTTAATTGAAATACTCAATGGATAACACTTTTTTTTTTTCAAATGCAAATGATAAGTCCTGGCCTATTTGATATTCTTCCTACACAGCACTACTCTTGTAAGAGCACAACGTAGACGCATCCAATTTCTCCCACTGGAATGAAAGCAACAGACCATTTGAGTACCTGAAGAACGAAATGATTTTTTAAAAACTACTGCTCAAGTGTATTAGGGGGATGTCTAAGGGTATTAGACAAATCCTCTAGATTTCTAGTTGAAATCAATCTAGTGTGCGTCAGCAAAATATAGAAGTTGTCAGCTTTCCGGTTGTGTGGTAACCTTTGCGTAGCTCATCTGACTCTGTCTGGTTTCTGGTTAGTAAGAATCTATGCACACTTCTCTCATCCCCATACATTTATTTTCTTCCAAGACAGGTGGAAGATAGCACCCCTCACTTTGAGTACATCACCTGTTTTCTGAAAGAGCCTTGTGCTTCATTTCCATGCCTGTCCAGCCAGCATTTTTACCTCAAGTCTAAATTAACCATTAACACACCTTCATATTTTATTAGACTCAATTTCTTAATTCCTTACAATCATCATTTATGTTCTCCACTGACTTTTCATTTCCTCGCCTGTAAACACCTACCACAGCTTACACGCTGCTGTTGAGTCTGGACTAGTTTTACACCTCCTGCCAAAGTTTCCAACTGATGCTAAGGCAGGTACTGGATCTTTCACGCAGGCCTTCTGCCTGGAGACTTACTACATGGCAGAAATCAAGAGGCACGCTATTGTGCTGCTTTTAATTACTGAATCAGAAACAGTCACTTTTTAAATTAAGAGCTGTATCATCTCTCAGTGCTTAAGAATGTGATATCAAGATGGAATCTTCTTGCTCTTGACCTTGTCCTCCAAGTTTGCAAAATATTTCATTTTGGCTAGCAGCTTCTTGGCTTCTTGAAGATCATCTAAAATGAAATAAAACTGAAGTGTTCAGTGCGATGGGTCTTCGGTTTCAGCTTGGAAATGATTATTTTTCAGTTGCTGGGATGTACTATTAACGGGGCATCAAGACCTCTGTATAGGAGTCTTAGCTTAAAAACAGGGAATTTCAACTCAGAAATGAGATGTTTCTCCATAGAACAGCGGATACATGTTCTGTAGCATACAACACGTTTGGCAACAGCAAATGTGTTCTAGCACTTACAAAATAGCATAGTTTTAAATTGGAACTGACAGAGTTACCTCTTTCAAAAGCCTGGTTCACGTCTGTGATCAGTTGTTCTTGCTTAGCTGTAAAACAAACGAACAAACAAACCTTATTTGCGGTTATCTTATCAGAAGCATCATTTATGCTTAGTTTGTTCAAAAACTGGTCAACAAGCAACTTCTAATGCTGAATGAAGTCCAGTGAACGTTTCGCTGTCGCACACTCTGACCACCAAGCCAGGCCAGACCAGACTTCCAAGGTTATCCAGTGTTGGCTCCTGCATTACACAGTACTGGTCTCCAGATGCTTTTCCAAAGGACATGCCTACCTGATTCAAGGCAGCCCCATGCTGACACATGTTGCTAGCTCCCAAGAGAAATGTGGTGCCAAGTACACCCCTTTAAGTGGCTGCCAACCTGCTGGGAGGCAGAGCCAGCTGTGCATACCCAGGTGGTGACGCTGCTTCCAATTCAGAAGTGGCGCGTGTGAAGCACGTCTCAGCCTGGCACTGCCTGGAGCTACACAGATGTATTGCAACTGTTTTCTTTAAGCTCTTCTTGAGCTTCTGCTTTGACAATACCCCCAAAACCTCCTCTAGCCAAGAGCCATCTCTTTATAGGCAACACTACCTTTACATCATTACTGAAAGGTTACACGACTCCTACTTCTTGTTGCCAAACTCATCAGGAGCCTTCCAACTAAACTTGCAGAAAGTCAGAAGACATTATTCGTTAGTTACGAGTCTGTTCATGATAATGCGTGCAGGGGATTTTGCTGTCAAAAGTAATCTTGGCTCGATAAATTCTACAGAAAAACATCTGCTTTGAAATGAAAGGGGTTACAACACGCTGTGGGCCCCGCTGCATCAGAGCTGAAATAAGGTGCTTTTCAGTTTGCTTAATGTAAACACATTCCGTTCCTCGAGGGCAAACGAGATGTCCTGCATTACTTCCCAATTTGGCTGAAGAAAATGCAGTTGGCTTTGTACCTCAGTGTCAGCCGCAGCTGCTCTCGCGTTCGCAATGTGTACCCTTCACATGTATATTCATGGGACAGAGGAGAATCTGGAGGTGCCCGGGACACATCCAAACCCGTCTGTTTGGTGCTCATGTCCTTGGGCTCAGATGTCTCCTCCTGCTTACCCCTCCCCGAGATGTGCTTGGCCCAACCAGCCACGTTTTTTCCCCTGGTCGTCCTGGAAGCCCTTCTTCACGCCTGTTCTGCTCTGAACTTATCTTTCCCCAGCACAAACTGTGGAAAACAGTCTCCCATCACATAAACTTTACCTGCAATTAAGCTTTCCAGCTCTTGTAAGCCAGCCTTGTCTTCAGGATCTGCCAGCCTCTCGTTGATGTCCATGATTTCCGCGAGGAACTCCACGTCCGCGTCATCATCCGTTCCCTCCGCCAGCGTCACGCCGCGCAGCTCCAGCTGGTGAGGAGAGAGCAGTGGGCGCTCGCTCGCCATCAGCCGTTCCCCACGCCGCGCATCCCAATGCCCGGAGCCGCCGACGCCACGCGCTACGCCTCGCTTCACGAGCAGACCCCCCGTGCTCGCTTGGTGCCAGCCGGCCAGCCAGCTGGGGGCTTCTGCCCCCCGTCGGGGCTGATCGTGTGCGGACGGTGCCGTGAAGCGGCAGGACCCCG